TAATAAGTTACTCATCAAAATCAAGTAATCAAAAGCAACTATACCGCATAAACTTCAGTGATGGTTGATTTCAACTTCGTTGGGTGTTGTGTATGTCACAAGCGTCTGTTTTTTGTCGAATGATTCATTTGTTATTTTTGCCTTATGGCAACGTTTTACGCTGCATTTCTGTCTGTTTTTGCCTCCTTCTTTTTCGTTTTTCTTTTTGAATTCCTTTCAGCTACACACTCTATTGACAAGGAGCGCAAATAACAACAGTAAAACATTCAAGGTAAAGAACGCAAAACTATTGATTATAAACAAGAAAAAAGATTCATATTTATAAAAAAAAAAAAAAAAAAACCGCAGTTCGTATTCGTAGGGACCATAAACACCTATTTTGATTGTAGTATAATATATATGAGTTGGTATCGTTGAAAAATATGCGATGGCCAACAGACGTAAACTTTATTCGGTACCTATGAAAAGATCTGATTAGAGAGCGCTAGTAGAATATGATTTGTCTATAATTGGTGTTGCATTTTATTTTATTCTTATATAGATGAGACTTAGATGATTATAAACGTCTGACAACTTTTCTATGAGTTGATGAAAAATTGATAATTTTCAATATAATTATTACTTTTCGAATTGAATTCATATTATAGAAGACCTGACACATTCATCTTATTTCTTCAATAACAAAAAAACATAAAAAGAAAAAACATTCACTTAGTGTTTATTTGAACTGGCAATTCAAAAATCATTTGCATTAATAAAAAAAAAAAGAATATATTCAAAAAACTTGGGTTATTTACTAAGTAATGTATGCGAGAACAAACGAATCTTTTAAGATAGTCCAATATGAATATAAAAATCAAAATTGGGAGTATGCTATTCCGAATGTCAGTGAGTATAATTATAAGATCTTATTGAATACATTTTGGCAACCACGAAAGAAGCAGAAAGATTTTTTAACAAACGTACCAATTCAGATGTATCATCATGTCTCGAAAATATAAGAAACTGATATGAATGAAATACAAATTTAAACTGAATCTCTAACGGCTTTGTCATAAGTCTATCAGATATATATAGAGAAGTACACAAGATGAATCGAAAATTCTTTACTTGAAAAGAAAATTAAACATGCTCACAGGCATTCAAATTACACTCCCGGATTTCTATCATTGACAATCAGAATTGCCCATCGTTCGGTGGGTATAGATGTAGATATTTATTTCGCTCACATTGACATCCACATCCTCGGATACCAAAGTCAAACTAAAGATGATTTTCTAATACCAACACTTCACAAATACTAACGTTAGTTTTCTTGTGTGCCTAGACTATGATTCGAGATTTCAATCATCAAAAATGATCTTTGTAGAAAAAAAAAGTATGATATTTATGATGACAGTGAAAAAATAGACTGAAAAATTGGTTTTTCATCACAAAATATTTACATGAAAATTCGACGTGTTGGGAAATCAAAGACAGAATTATACTAATAAAAACTCTGAAAAAAGTAGCGATCAAACTTTGATGAACATATTGTATGACGAAATAGAGGAATCCCGACATGAGCGAAGCTAACAATATGTGTAAAATTAAAAAAGAATTTATCATATGCCAATTGTTGATCTTATTTTCACTTCTTCAGGTAATAGAGAAATATAATTCAAATGTTGTTTTGCCACATTCAAGATTCGGTAAATTCTAACGTGTGCTACAACATAAACGAGAAAAATCTTGCCCTATTAATACGTGCATTACAAGAACTATATTTATAATAGATGTATATCAATGGAAAAGAAATATTAGGCAACATGTTTTCAACACAAACTGATGTTGAACCACTGATACTATCAATAACTATTCTAAGTGATACATTGACAACGATAAATATTATTAGCGTCAATTATTGATTGCAAAATTCATCTATCAACGATTTCTGCTCGTATATATATTTACACACAGTCGACAAATAATAAATTCTTATTTGCGTTTTTTTTTAACATGCTTATAGTTTCAATTTTTTTATGAATAAAGAACACTCTTATAATAGGCATAAATCTTATATTTGTTATTCTTTCTTCTATTGATCGACAACGTAGATTCTACGTATCGACAGCGATACTGAAGACACAAACCCTTTTTTTTTAATTCAATAGTAACGATAAAAAACACCATCGTTGTATTGCATGTCTGATGCCCTTGTACAAACACAGAGGTTTGTTGCGCGAATAAAAAAAAATGCCCATAATGTTGATTGCATTATGATTTTGCTGGGTTTCTTCTGAGGAGTGCAACTATGACAAACAAGAAAACTCAACAAAAAAACACATTAACAACGAACAAAAGAAATACACAGGAATGTATTTTTATTATTGTTGCCAGCAGTTTTTTTTTGTTCGTGTTTGTATAGTGAGTGACCTTGAGAAAGTAGAAAGTGTAAACAAAAGAGTACTGAAGAAAATTTTGGTTGCATTTTTCTCTTTTTCTTTCTTTCTTTTTATGTGGTTGTATCCTATCAAAAGCTTTTTGCTACTGTCTGTCTCTATACTACTAACGAATTGGCAAGTTTGGATGAATAAGAACTGTTCATTACATTACATTGATTTCGTTTTTCTTCATGGTTCTTGATGCACAAGTACATAATATCGCTTAAATGTGTATACTAAGTATTATTAGAATTATGTTCAAAAGATCGTTAAAATCGAACGAATATTCAAGGATCTGTTCTTAAGGCTTTCATTTTGTTTTTGATTCACAAGAATATTTTTAAATTTCTCATGATGTAGATAAAGATTTTTTGGAAGCCTTCTTAGTTCTGAAAATGTCGACAATGAAAAATGAAGACAGTGATGATAGAGAAAATATTGATAAGAAAAGAGAGAAAGATATTCACGAAATTTGAGCTAAAGATAGAAATTTGAAAACTTCAGCACATATTTTCGATTGACGACTATATTGACAGCGACACAGCTGATCTGTTTACATCTCCAGATGCATATGATAAATAGATTTAATATTTCAATTTGTCTATGCTGCAACTCGAGTACTTCTATAGAGCTAGACTCGAAACGAAACTCATAGGTTATCAATGCCTACTAGTTGGTTATGATGAATTCAAAAAAAAAAGAACCGACAATTCTTTAGAGATCAAAAAAAATGTGATGACCGATAGACTATCTATCTTTTTGATAAAGTTCCAGATGAACTAGGGTGCCAACATAGCATCGTTGATGGAAGTATCCATCGGAGCCAAGAATAGTGACATATATGAAGTATCGATGCATGAAATGTATCATCCCTTCTAAGCAAAGAACTCTAAATACTATGAACAAGATGTCACACAATATGAAATAATCGATCATCATTTTACATTTTATTTTGTTTTCTTAATATTTTGACTCTATTATTCAAGTGAGCTTTTCTATTTATTAAATTTATTGGAAAGAAATCTGACAAAGATTACTTCGAGTTTTTAACGATTATGCAATCAAATAGTAGTGACATAGAAATTTACTTATTATTTACCTTGCTATAAAAATAAGAACTTTTCTGGGTATTCTCTCGCCAGTATTTTTTTTTATTATGTACGTCATTGATACAAACGTGCAGCCATTTATTATACGATAGTGTGCAATAATTTAACTTTGTTTTCATAGTTATCCTCTTACTTGCTGCATATAAAAGTTTTAGGATGATTACAGAATCAGATAAAATTTAATCGCAAAATACTATTATTCAAACCTCTATGTATGTCTTCATCGTAACATTTAACATCAAAAAATATAGATGCAGCTATTGTAGGATGAGCTGATGATTTAAAACATTTACAAGAAACATATGTTTTTGAATGATTTGTGTAAAGTTTTGTTACCGATATCAATACAACTATTGGTGTTGAAATTGTTAAAGCTGATGTTAATAAATATCAACGACTTGAAACAGTCACATTCATTATGCAAGATGTTATTTGTGGAAGTGGTATAACAAAATCAATAGTGAAATGAATATGTTCTAATTAAAATAAAGATGGAGATGCTATTGAAAAAGAAACACAAAATATAATGAATACAATTTTTATAAAAAGAATGAAAAAAAAATGTTGTATCGTTCATATATGAAATTAAGATGTACTGCAACGTGAGATTTCATTCGTAATTATTTTATATTTTATGAAGACTTTTTTAATATTGTGAAGAAATGAAAGCATTCAAAAAAAAGTCGGAACAAACATTATTCATTTTTCTTGTGTTTTTCGATCAAAATCGAACTATACAAAATGATTTATTCGACTGTTAAGTTTTAAAATAAGTTTACAGAGATGGCATCTATTCTAGAGCATTCTAAAATTTATTGATGTCAAATATTCTCAAAAGAAATCAAAAGAACCGTATTTATTAAAACAAAATCGATTAGAAAATAGAACCAACTATTCACATAGTAGTGACAGCTTATTTGAATTGATAGGCTGAAACTGAATTTTTATGAGCAATGAAAATGTTTGTAGAACGTTCGTCTTCATTATCGAATTTCAATTGTTTCAGGTTTTTCTATCGCCACTATATCTGGAATTCAAATGTGCCCAATAACTAATCCCAGAACGAGGATGTCGTGGAATTGATCTGCTGCGTTTTTTGTGAGGATCTCGTTGCGGTGGTTCACTAATTGTTGATTCGACTTTTCTCGATTGTGGTATGTTCATATACATAGGTTGTGGTAGTTGAATCGGCGAAGTAATGCTTCGGCTCAGTCTTTGTTCAGACGAATTGATATCTGATCGACCTAAGACTTGTAACCATGCAGCGATACAGTTGATCAATTTATTAGCGTATAATTTACGTTTCCACGCTTCTGGAATGTTTCTATAACCATAATAGGCACCTGCCAATTGACCGTAGGTTGCTGCTACAGTATCTGTATCACCACCAAGATTGACAGCATTGAGTGCACCCTCTTCAAAAGAATTTGCACTCCAAAATGCCCATAAAGCTGCTTCAAGTGTGTTCACGACATATCCTGTGCTTCGAATTCCATCGTAATAACCTCCTAACCTTTTAAATGATCCATCAGCGACGCGAAGAATTTCACTATGAAGTTCTCGACGATCAAACCATTCTCGATACTGATGATAAAATTGCTTACTAAGCAGAGTTTCTTTACGTTCACCATAAATAGCTGCAACAATAAGTGCTCCATAATAACGACATGCATCGATAGCTATATCATCACCGTGTGTCAAACGAGCACTTTCACCTGAAAGTTCAACTGCAAGAGAAGGTGTTCGATAGAAGAAGAGTGGCACGGGAGCAAAACGCATCAGAGCACCATTTCCAGCGACGCCTGGTCGACTACAGTTTACATTAAAGCCAGCTCGTTGAATGATATCAAACGATAGTTGATCAACTTCTGATTCTGTACGACAGTTCACATATCTCTTCAATTTCTTCTGACGATGATTAAACTCTTCTAGTGCATCACGAGTTGCATTACCAATGTCAAAACAATATCCAGTAGAAGATAAATACCCATGTTTATACCACCATTTATAGCGAACCATTTGATCATAAGGATTGAAACCTTTTTGAGTGATAAGTGATGAAGCAAGACATAAAGCCATAGCAGTATCATCTGTCCATTTACCAGCTGGTAAACCCCATGTGCCTCCACTCTTCATATCACGGACGGGATGAGCGATAAGATATTCTTGAGGACGAAATTCTACGCTTGCTCCAAGTGCATCTCCTATTGCTAGACCGACGAGAGAGCCACTAATTGCTTCGATAGCTGCAGGATTTTGTAATTCTGTTGGAGGCCAGACGAGTTTAATAGCGTCAGGAAGTATTTTTTCGGTTGAAGAAGGAAATTGTAGCACCGACATAACAATAAATCTAGAAAAAAAAATTATTATTAGTCAAATCTTTTATCATTAGATAGCAACAATAAATCAATTATTTCTCAAAAATAGTTAGAAAACTGAAAAGAAAAACACCAATTTTCATGATTCAGTTTTTAAAAATAGTAAATATAACAATTGTGATGATAATATGTCAATAAATACATAAATTTGCTAGAAGACGTGTGCGATATATTGACAATTGTTTTTTTGTTGTCTTACCTTCAAAATGTATAAAAAGAAAACATAGTATCGATTAGTTCTTTTTTTATCGTCGTCTATCACTTGTTTGCTTCGCTTGACGAAATATACAAAGACGAAAAAGAAAGTTCAAGAAAAAAATAAGTAAAAATGACACGTGTTTATCTTGTTGATGAAGAAAGAAATGAAAACCTTATTTTAATGGTTCTCAGAAAAACGAATCTAATGCTAAAATAACGAAACCATATGCTCACATCTGGACAAAACACCACTACAAATTAAATAAGCAAAGTCATACATTTGTCATAAATTCCTCTATAAAAAAAACTAATTTGTATATGTTTATTTTAATGTACATATTTTTTGATGATACGTACTCCATGTATCAGAAATGCTCTCTGTATAATTACCTTCGTGTAAAAACAGCTTACTATTATTTTTAAAGTATTTTTTATATTGGTGACGAACACGACCGAAGAAATTATCGAGCGAATCTGTTTGTTTTTTATTTTTCTGTTATTTTTTTTTACCAAATATTTTGTCATGTAATAGACAGCGATTGCGTGTCATCGTTGACTAGCTTAGTCATATATTTTGAAGTCACTATTCTGAGGATATTATTTTTGTAATTGATGTCGCAAGCATATTCTTAAAATGATTCAACGCTATATGATTGATTTTGAGAGTGTAGATACAATAGAGACCTCGCCTTCACCCATATGCACATCCAGAACTAAATAGCTATATGCAAGATATAACTCACGCTCATACTCATACCCAGATCCACACACCCACACTCATTATTATCAAGATTTTATCGTTTTATGTTCATCAAAGAAAATTTTCAATTTTGACCACAATATATACATGTCAATTTAAGATAAGGATTTTTAAATGTGAATTTATAGACAAATGCTTTCAGTACTTTGTTGAAATTTTTTTTATGATACCTCTGTATTTATCACAATATCAAATGGAAAAATTCAGGATAAATCTTTATAGGATCTGAACTACTTGTATCATATGACAGTATTATACATGAGTGAATATGACAAAAATATGCTTGTAATCATGAATAGCTAATTTTTAAAAATTATTGTCATCTTATTCATTCTATAAAATATCTTTTTTTGTTTTAGGCAAAAAATAGAGTACAATGCTTAATATATGAATTAATTTGTTTACTTTTTTTTTTTGTTTTCAGCACTATATTATTTGAGAAAATTTATCAAAAATAAAGAAAATTCTATGAAAGATAAAAATTCAATTATCAGATATGCATGAGATGAAATCTTTATTCAAGATCAAATAATAAAAATTCAACGTTAATTGATCCAATATTTTCTATAGAAAGTTCAGTATTTAGTTCTTCACAATTAATAAATGCTCCATCTCCTTCTTCTAATATAATATCTTGTCCAATTCGAATTTTTGCACCATTTCTTACATCATATCCACTTCGCATAATTAAATGAATATATCCTTTTGTTCTTTTGAAAACATGTTTAATAGAATTATTTGGTTGTAAAATACTAGCAAACATAGATAATGGTGCATGAATGGCAATTGTTTTTGCATTGCAATTTTTTATATCATCAATTAATAAACAAAGTTTATTTAATTTTTCTTCATCGGACCATTGCTTTGTTGTATAAGATGGTTTAAGCTTTGATTGATTTGGTTTAACCCATATTTGAATAAAATGGACCCAATCTGATTTATTAACATTATATTCCGAATGTTGAATACCAGTTCCAGCTGATGTGAATTGAACTTCACCACGATGAATTATTTCTGTATTTCCCATTGAATCTTGATGTTGTAATTCTCCATCAATAATATATGAAAATATTTCATATTCACTATGAGAATGTGTACCAAAACCTGTTGTTGGCTGAACTCGATCTTCATTTATTACACGTAAACAACCGAAACCCTTGTCAAAATGTGAATCGTGATATGAAGCAAATGACCAAGTATGAAATGTTTTTAACCAACCATGATCAGCATGACCACGTTCATGTGAACGACGAGGAGTTATTTGTATTTTAGAAGACATCGTATAGTTTATAAGAAATAAAAGAAAGATGTATAAATTAATCAATGAAAAATATCCATTTTTATAGAAAATTCTTGAACCGTGTTTGTCAGAATGATGCAGCAAAAAGAAAACAATAATTGACAACATGACCATTGAAAACAACCCACATGGTTAATGCGTGGTTGCTTTCTTCCTTTATATAACAGAAAGAAAAAAAACAAAATACTTCGTAATATATATTTTTTTTCTTCCTATATTACTTAGCAGAACAAGCAAGAAAATAATATTTATGCGTCATTCAAAAAAGAAAACCATGACTCGGCAAATTTTATCCCTCTACAAGGAAATGCATGTCCGTCATTAAAAAAAAATTCTACAATTTCATCTATGATTTGAATCTCTGTATACTAGTAACTATTGAATTGAATTTATTGAAGAGATCTTTTGATATGAAACTCGATCATTGATGATAACCTAGTAGAGAGTTTACTTTTTAATACTATTCATTTTATTAGCACAATTAATTGTCACAAAACTGAAGAAACAGTGAAAAATAATCAGCTTTAGATAGAAGGTTTGTTTTTAGAAAAGAAATCATCTTTAAGAGTATTACTGTAACAAAAAGTTCTTTCTAGTTGTTGTTTATTTTGCTTTTGTACTTTTTTTGTTGCTATAAAAATCTTGATCTTCTTTATAGTTCTTTGTACGATCAATCAATTACTTCTCACGGAAATACCCAATATCTGTTCTATATAATATATATAAAGTGGGTTGAGATAACCTACACACACAAACTGCCATTGCATGTAAAAAAAAAATACATACAGCCTCTAAAAATATGCGAGAGGATATTTCCGTATCGAATATCAAATTTGCATGCGCAGTGCTTGGGCATTCGAGAAACAAATAAGTACAAAAATATTATATTATTCTTATTTTAATTTGATATAATTAAAGTCATTTTATGAAAAATAAGATATTAAAATGAAACGAATAAATATCGACTTCTATAGAGTTTTTTTGTCATGTCAAAATATACTGCAAATTAATAGTATACAATTTACTATAAATAAATACAGAAAAATCTGAGAAATGTAATTGTTTCTTTATTCTATTGAGTGAGTAAAAAAATTAAATAAATTCCACATTGCGTTTCAAAAAAGTTTTTCAATTGAATAATTCTATTAAAAATCAATTTATTATCAAAAATATCAGTTTTTATTCATGTAGAATATTTAAAATTTATTATACCAAATTTCGCTTAATCTCGATAATCGAACTACTCAAAATTATTTTTTCATTTGAGAAAGTTTCAGCACAGTATGTTTGTTTGATTCTTGATCATTTATAGATCATTAAAACTAGCCAAAAGTAGTTCGTGGTTAAAAATTACAGACTTTTCATTCTCTCTATTTCTTTTTGAAAGATCTATACTATTTATTGTTCTTTTATCGTATCGTTCTACTTCACATGATTATGTTCAAATATGAACATATATGAAGCAGAAATATAAGACGAAAGAATGAAAAGGATAGACAGAGATAGATTGTTCGAAATAGATACAAAGAACGAACAGTTTGTATTGTTTTCATAATATCAAAAATAAAACTGAAATAATATCAGTATTTGATTCAAGTAGATAATTACTACAAAGAGTTTGATAGTATATGTTTCGAAAGATGTTCTTCTTTCCCTCTAATCCTTTTGCATAAGAGAATTACGTCAACATAGTATAAGCGTTTTGTTTTCTTGATATTATCAGTTTTATTCAATTAAGATTAGAAATATCAAAACCAGTCAAGTAGTGGCAGATCTATGATTTTTGATTATGCTGGATCTCAGATTCAGAGCATGGAACTCAGATGAAACTTATAGAATGTGATATTAGATCCAAATGATGAGCTGTAATCATAAACTTTTTCGATTGGAGTTTGCGAAAAAAGAAAATTTTTTTGTCATTCCCACCCTCAATTTTTGGTCTTCAGTGGTATTCTGTTTTTTTGGAATATAATTGTAATCTACATCAAATTTTATCGTCAGATTTAAAATGTCATCTAAAAATACACATCTGTTCAGGAATTAAAATGCTTTGAATTTTTGCTAAACATACCAAAAACTCGAAACGTTATAACTCCAGAACGCATGCATATTTTCAAATGAAATCTTAAATCTGTTGATAAAGTTCGATATACATTACGTTTATATTTCAAAAAACGGAATAGTATAGGACGCAAAAAAAATTTTCTTTTCATCGACTTCGATCGAAAAAGTTTTTGGTTAAAACTCATCGTTTGTATCCAATATCACTCTCTATAAATTTCATCTAGATCTGCTACTGAAGTCAAGTACTTGATGTAATGAAAACTTGACTTTCTATCATTACATTAACCTTGTTTTTTTATCTATTCCCATCTCAATAATTCGTGTAGATCATGTTTTAAATCTTCAAATCCAACAGGTTGATTATTAAATTGGGATTATTAATCGGAATGTGAGTTTGTGTACCTCACTCTATAAAGATGTTTTCTTTCATTAAATTTCTTTCAAATAGATCTATGAAACGGAAGTATTTTACATTAAGAAGAGTAAGACAACAGACTTTGCTGCTTTATTATTTTCAATAGCTCGCTACGAATTCGTCTTATGAGTAAACATTTGGATTCAAAATTTTTTTATTATAAAATAATTAATGGAATTTTATTTACATGATAAAATGTGATTCAAAACAGGGACCAATTAATAA